GGATTGGTTCGGCGATAATCTCCTAGACATAAAGCGCTCTAAAACAAAGCTGGTGTGTTTTCAAAACCCTCTTAAAAGACGCCAGGCTCAAGTAAAGTTTTTGCTTCACCCTTCCAGTTGTGCTCAATGCAATTGTGTTTCAATCCAGTCTGTCGATCACGTAAAATACTTGGGTGTACATTTCGATTTTGATATGTCTTGGAACACACATATGTCATATATTTGTAGCAAATTACGGATTGTGTCTTGTATGCTTTATAATACTAAATTCTTTATGCCAGTCGGTATCAGAATAATAATCGTCCATGCTCTTGCTTACAGTATCCTTCGATACTGTGTTACGGTATTTGGCAACTGTTCGGGTCGTTGGCAGTCCAAAGTTAATTCTTTATTGAAAGGAATCCTGACAAGCGTTGCATACAATTCGAATTTTTCCAGCAACTGATATTTTTCGAAGTCTTCAACTGCCTAATTTGCGTTCTCTTTTTATACAAACGGTAGTGCTCCGTAGCTTTTGGAAAAATGAGTTTAAAACACCATTTCAGTCTCCCCGAATACTCCGTCGCGTTCCTCGTTTTGTAGTGCCAGTTTGTTCGACCAGGTACGGTAAATGCACTCGGGATTACTACGTTCCGTGTTTGTTCAACGCCCTCCCTGACACTTTCATTGACATTACATCACTGAAACAACTGAAGAAAGAACTCAAGTGCACCAACTTTGATTTCATCTAGCATCTCTTCGCTGTGACTGCAAGCTCCGAGCTTGAACTGTAATTAGCTAAGTTAATTTTAACTAGTTTCGCCTTTTGTTTATTTTTTTTCCTTTTACTTTGTTTTCGCTTAACATTTTTCGCGTTTTTTTTTTCTAAGTGCTTTTTTCTTCTTCTTCCGTGTTTTCTTTTTTTTTTAACGCTTTTCGCTTTTTTTTTTCTTCTTCTTCATGCTTTTTTTTGTGTTTTATAGTTCGACTTTCTGTCTTACATTGTGGAATCATAATAATCGTCTTTTTAATTTTTTTATGGGCGTCGTCATACAAGCCTTCTGCAGGCTTTGATATGCCCGTATCTATAGTACATGAATTCCAATTTGTGTGAAATAAATATATTATTATTATTATTATTATTATTATTATTATTATTATTATTATTATACGCGCGAGTTTTACGTGCCTGAACTCTTTAATAATCTGCCTTCTGAAATTCTACAAGCGAATTCACTGCGTCAACTAAAGAGAATGCTGAGACTTCACCTACTGGGATGAGATGTCGCCTAGCGTGTGCATATTTTGTTAGTATCAGTGTGTATGTGCCTAATTACTGATTCAGTTTTGTACATCCTAAAGTTTTTCAGTTTGTTTTACAGATGTGTGTGTGACGAACTTTACACTGCTTTTTCGTGGACATATCAGTTGTTTGTTTTTTTTTTGTAATTTTTTGGGCGGCATCACACAAGCCATTTGTTGGCTTTGATTGCCCCCGCACTCTTGTTGCTCTCATGAATGTGTCCGGAATACAAGTTTCTTATTTATTATAATTATTATTATCATCATCATCGTCCCCGAAAGCGGTTGTCCCTTTTCGACAGCTCTGCTGATTTGAACCTGTAATCGCTTCCTTTTGAAACATAAGGCGCCAGCAAGCTCTCTGTGACTCAGGAAGTCCCCGGCATCACCGCAAGCACAAGCCTTGGTCTGAATCAGGTGACCTAACTCTTCACTGGCCAGCTCGCACTAAGTAGGCCTAAGCGGCTTCACGGCTTCACCAGACGTCCCTTCTGGAACGCTCGTCCTGCGCGAGCTCGCCTGGACCGACGATCTGCACGGTGAGTGAGCAGCTCGCGCCGCCCTGCTCAACGCCTCAGTCCAACTCAAGTGACACGGACGCGCTGTACTGCATACCGACTCCTACGCTTCTACAATGTCCCCTCCCCTCCAGTGCGCGCAATGCAAGGAGAAGATTATGAACGACGGTCGGCACATGTCCTGCGCCGACTGTGGAGCATTATACCATCTGGGGAAACTTTGCTCCGGTATTGCGGACAGTACATTCAAGACCATGGGCGCTGGAAAACGAAAAGCCTGGCGTTGCCGCGTATGCAGACAACAGCAAAGCGGAGATGGGTCTCTTAGTGAGGCAGATTTGTCGCAATGCGCATCTCCTGTCACTACGGAACATTTTCAATCTCTTGAAGCTGGGCTGGAGTGCCTTACTTTACTCAAGGCCAACGTTGACACCCTCCTCGAGTTGCCAACCCAAATGAACCAAATGCTAACGCTGAAGCCGGTAGTCGAGAGCCTGAAATCTGCAGTAACGGAGGTTCAGGAGTTCATCGCCTTTCTCTCGGCTAAGTACGACTCTGTGCTGTCGACAGCCACGAACAACGCAGCAGCTATAAACGAACTGCGCAGCGAAACCACATCACTGAAAACAGTGGTAACGGAGCAATCTCAGATAATCGATCACCTGCAAGAAGAGCTCAATGACAGTGAACAGTACAGTCGTCTCTCAAACATCGAGATACATGGACTTCCTCAATCCCCAACTGAAAATTTAGTCTCCGTTGTCAGTGAGGTGGCGTGTAAGCTAGGCCTTGGTGACTTTCGGCCAAATGACATAGTGGCAGTGCATCGTCTGCCTTCTCGACGCGATGGCCCTCCAGTTGTCCTGGTTAGATTGGCATCCGTGTCACTAAGAGAGCAGTGGCTTGCCACACGAGGTAAGCTGCGTCCCTTGGCAGCAGACAGTTCGTTGCCAAAACTCTACCTGAACGAGAATCTAACGCGAAGGAACAGGGAACTCTTTTGGATGGTGCGTGAGAGGGCAAGGGTCAAGCAATATAAGTTCACTTGGGTGAAAACTGGGAAGCTATTTGCGAAGAAGTCAGAAAGCTCGCCTGTAGTGCGCATCTATCGGATGGTCGACTTGGAAAAGATTGTCTAATTTTTTTTCGTTTCTTAATGGCTTGAAAATAAGGCGATATAACTACCACAGTTTCATCGATGTTCAGATTTTTCTTCTTTTCAACGTCTCTTGAGCCCAGTTAACGATACCGCTCTTGGCTTATTACATGTAAATATTAGGAGTATTCGTAAATATTGGGACCAGTTTGTAATAACTATCAACAGTGTGATGTCAATAATTGATGTTTTTGTGTTAACAGAGACCAATGTTAAAGAAGAGTTTTGAAGTGCCTTTCAGATACCGGGATATAAATCATTTTTTCTTACACGACCAATTGGTCGAGGAGGAGAAATCGCGATATTCGTTAAAGATTCATGGTGTACTGAAAACTTTGAGGTACATTTTTTTCATTGCGAGTCTTTGTCCTTAAGGTTATGGAATTCTGAGTGGTCGTTGTTGTTATTGGCACTGTACAGAACTCCGTCATCTAATGCTTTAAACTTTTTGGAAGAACTCAGAGATACACTTGGTAAATTCCAGTCCGTCGACATCTGTATGATAGGTGATTTTAATATTGACACCCTTCAACCCATTAACTTCCTTGTTTGTGACTATCTGAATTTATTAGCGGAGTTTGGTCTAGAGGAACTGATTCTAGCTCCGACTCGAGAGAAACTTCTGGGTGATCATCTCGTTGCTTCATGTCTTGACCATATTAGCGTACGCGCCGCAAATGTCGTTGCGCAGTCAGCTGTAATAGAACAAAAACTAGCGGACCATTACTTTGTTGCGTGTAAACTTACATCAAAACTTAGCGTTAAAACAAAAACAGAAACAACAAAAAGAGGAAATAATTGATAAAGTAAGGTTTGATAAGTTAGTTAAGGCCTATAATTGGGATAGTTTGTTGTCCATTCAACACTTCGTTGAAATTTACAGTACGTTTAGAAATCAATTCGGCTCTTTCAGGGAGCAATCAAAAAAGATTATTACTGTCAGGCGGCGTCAAAATGCACAAGTGTGGTTAACAGGGGATATATTGTCATGCATTAAGTATAAAGATGCTTTATGGGCTAAATGCGGACGTTCTCCTAAAAATGTTCAGTTAAAAATAGAATTCCGCGCTACGCGAAATCGTGTAAATGCGCTTATCCGGTGCGCTAAGAGAAAATACTTCCGAGAGAGATTTTTGAAGGTAAGGTCAAATATTCGTGAAACTTGGCGTTTACTAAATCAGTTGCGTGGCTCTGGTGTTAGGAGATCCATTGATGATTCACTTGAGAAAGTATTTGATCTTAATACGACATTGGCTGAGGATTTCAACAAGTTTTTTGCTAAATTTTCTGGAGTAGCGCCTAACGATGCTACGTTCTCTACAGAATACCTAGAGTCTAATGTTTCCTCTGCTTTCCTTCCTCAAATGACCGAGCTTGATCTACGAACTTGGCTTTTCAGTTTCAAAACAAACAAGGCGCCTGGCATAGGTGGCATCAATGCAGAATACCTGCAACGCAATTATAACTCTATAAAACACGTGCTTCTTTATATGTTAAATGGTTTTATTTCTTCCGGGATTATCCCAGATGATTTAAAAACTGCACTTGTAAAGCCTTTATTTAAAGGAGGAGAGCGCAAAAAGCTTGACAATTACCGCCCAATTTCTATTTTGCCCTGTATAATCCAGATCTTAGAAAAACATATCCTTCAATCTATGACGGGGTTTCTTGATCGCTTTAACATTCTATCGCCAACTCAATATGGGTTTGTCAGTGGACGTGGGACCCAGCCACTTCTAGAAGATTTTGCTGATGAATTGAATCATACCTTTGAGAAGCATCAGGTTGCTTGCGCACTTTTTATTGATGTGGCAAAGGCATTCGATACCGTGAGTCATAATATTTTACTAACTAAATTGCAAAACATTGGATTCCGCGGCCCATTCCCTTCACTACTTCAGAACTTTTTGTCGGGAAGGACACAACTAGTTTCCATAGCGAATATCCGAGGCTCCAAAGTTAGCTTAAAAGCTGGGGTTCCTCAGGGATCCGTTTTGTCCCCTCTCCTTTTTAACATCTTTGTAAACGATATGTCCAGGGCAGTTTCCTCATGTAAATTATTTCAATACGCTGATGACACGGTATTGCTATCGCAACACCTTGATTATGTTGCAGGAATCACTTTACTCCAAGACGACACTTGTCACCTACATGACTGGTTTAGAGCTAATTGTCTCACGATCAATATACATAAAACTAAGCTTGTTTGCTTTCATAATCCACTTAAACTTATAACTACCGATTATCCACTTTATATGCATACATCTCGGTGTACACCTTGCGACTGTCGTCCTGTGTCTTATGTTGATCAAGTTAACTATCTAGGAATACAATTTGAGAGTGACTTGTCGTGGAAAGCCCAATTATCCCAACTTTGTAGAAAACTGCGAAAAGTATCCTGTTTTCTGTATAATGCCAAATCTCTAATACCCATTTCAACCAAAAAGACAATAACTCACGCTTTAGCATACAGTGTATTACGCTACGGAATAACTATTTTTGGTCACAGCCCAGGACTATGGGGCAAAAAAATTGACTCAGTTTTAAAAGGAATATTTAAAAGCATAATGTACGGTGCAACGTCACAAACTGAAGAAGAAATGCTAACATGCTTGGGTTTGCCTTTTTTTTTTTATCCTTTACTTGTACAAACGGTTGTTCTAAAATACTTCTGGAGCGATACTTTTAAGGTACCTCGTGTCTTATGTAGACCTCTTTGGCGTGTTGAGCGGTTTGAAGTGCCTTTCGTAGAAACAAAGTACGGAAAAAGAGTGCGAAATTTTTACGTTCCATTTATTTTCAACAATTTACCAGATGATATCTATGCTGTGGACTCTTTAAAAAAATTGAAAGAATCACTTCAAGGTATTAGGGAGATGTTGTGACTGCATGTTTCTGTTTGCATATGTTGGAATGACCATCATCACCTACATTGTTCTGCATCTGTAATTGAATTTGAGCTGTGAACTTCTTGTTTGCGGGGACTCTTTCAAGCATGAATTGTAGGGTACTGTCCCACAAGTCGCTTCTGGCTTTGACAGGCCCGTGTATCTGCCTTGTTAAATGCGTGTTCCAATAAAACTTTATTATTATTAATAATATTATTATTATTATTATTATAATTATTAAGGACTAACACAAGACTTTAAGATGGCCAGAAGCCGCGCCAACGCCATGTTGCGTTCGGCTGAAAGAAGAGATTACAAAAAGAAATTTCTTCAATCATCTGGTCGATTTGCCGAGACATGGAGTCTTATAAACGAACTCCGCGGGATTCCTGTACGGGCAACCTCCGAATTGGAGATCTGTTTTGGACGCGATGCATTTTCACTCGCAAACAACTTTAATGCTTATTTCGCTTTGTTTTCGGGAGTTGTCAAAGACCGGGAAGAAAGAACCCCAACCTTAGAGAGAAGCGTCCCAAGCAGCACACTTGCTTGGGCTAGCTGGGGCCAGGATGGGGCCTTGGCCGTAGTAGACTGGACCGGGACCGCCCAGGGAATTCGGTGAACTGCCAGCCTGGCGTCTCACCGTTTTTCCCGGGCACCGGTATGCCACGGAACTGCCAGGGAAGGGATTTCCTTGGCGTTCCTCGTCTTTTCTTGGTCCGAGCAGACCAGGGTAGACAGGCGGCCGCCAACATTGGCGCTTCAGTGTGTTCATTGGCCCCAGGATTTTACGGAACTGCCAGGGGAGGGATTCCCGTGGCGTTCCTTGTATCTTGTTGGTCCGAGCCGACCGGGGTAGACAGGCGGCCACCAACATTGAATTCTTAGTGGCGCTTCAGCGTGGTCATTGGCCCCGGGATTCTACGTAACTGCCAGGGAAGTGATTTCCTCGGCGTTCCTTGTATTGTCCTGGTCCGAGCCGACCAGGTTAGACAGGCGGCTGCCAAGATTTAAGGATTTTGTGGCGATTCAGTGTATTCACTTGCCCCAGGATTCCACGGAACTGCGGGGGAGTGGTTTCTGGCAGTGGCGTCACAAGGTGGGGGACCGCGCCCGGGTGCAGCGCTCAGGGGGGTGTCGCGGCGGGATGCGGGGGGAGGGGGGGGGGGCGCAGCGGGCCACGCGAGAGCGGAGGGGGGGGGGGGGGGGAGCGGCGAGTTACGCGGCCACGCACGAGCGGAGCTCGGGGGGGGGGGGGGGGGGTTGAGGAGGGGGGTGTCGCGGCGGGCTACCGCCGCGAGTGCCGCTGACCCTCGTGACGCCACTGGTTTCGGGAATCGTTTATTTTTGCAAGATCAGCGAGCGAAGGTACGACGGGCAATTACCGTCGTTCATTATTTTTTGTCTGGAACTTGCTTGACATCGAACCCTGAAGTACTCGATACGGCCACTTTTACTTACATCAACTTAATATCCGTTCTTACGTTGCGCTTAAATTTGACTCTCACGCTATTATCACAAAGCGAGTGACGTACAGCTTCGTACACGAGAATCTGCGCTTAGACCTTTGGCCAGGAACCGTTTCCTCCTTTTCAAGAATATTGCGCTTGCCGGCGTGACGCGATCGTCGGGCTTTATTGACACGGCCGTGCCGACAGTACATCGCAACCGCAAGCAGGGTCCGCAAAACAGCACCCCATGTCTGATTTCACAAAAACGCCAAAAACAAACTGTTGCACTGGATGTGTAAATTAGAAAAAAAAAACAATAGAACACATTTCATCAAATTCCAGAGGCCGGTGTTTATTTTAGAACAAATTAACTAATCGCAAATCAGTCGGCGCTTCAAGAAAAAATATGTGAAAAACATGCTGCTCAACTAAATCTGCGTACATTGCAGCGGCGTTGAGCGCGCGTGTTCAATTTTCCGTTTGCTGAGACCCCGAATTTTTTCCAGACTGAAAAGAATAACCGGGTGCTTCAGTCAAATTGATCGTCCCACCTTTAAATAAACAACAAATATCAGTTTCACATGCTACGTAATTGCATCCTGGTGGTGCGTTTTCTTCGCGAAAGCGAACTTGCCTCAGAATCTTCAAGCATAAAAAATGCTTCCTAAAACCGACATGTGCTAAGCCTTTAGTTTTTTCAAATGAAACGCGACACGCAAAACTTCCGACACGAGAAAGGCTTAGATGTTGGCTGGTATTTCTAAGTTCAAGAAGAGGCAAGGCTGCTCTCGCTGCACCAACGTCAACGCTTAGTGCCGCAGTATGAGAAACTGATTTTTAGTATTTATTTAAAGCGGGAACGACCCATCTGACTCACCTTACACCGCCAACACACGTGGAATGCGGTCCGCACGGACCGCACCACAAGTTACGAAAGCCTTGGCCACGCGTGGTGTAAAGCGAAAACGTTGTATGTGCAAGTGGCGCTAGTGATCAAGTACATAAAAAAGAAGTTTATTCCGCGGAAAACGCATTCACTGATGTAAGGAATCGAAACAAAGTAAGGGGTACCGCGAATGTAAGTATTTATTTACATTTTTATTTTCATCTCAAAATTAAGCAAGCCGGATTTTAATCCGCGTTTGGATAGGTTCCACTTGGACTCATACTTATCAGAATTTGTAAATACGAAATAGGCTTAGCTTAGGCAGTCAAAACATAGATGACATAGATGTACCCTGCCATCTATTACACTATCTACATACAAAACATAGATTACATCTATGATTTGTATCGGTTCTATGACTCTTCATTCTCTCTTTCACCATAAATACGAGCGAAGGTGAGCTCGTGACGTGTCAACATCGACCTTACATTGCTTTCGCTCGCACTGAGCGTGAAACGAAGTGTAGGACATGTGGGGCACGTTTCGGCGGTGCACGCGTCGACGTGTTCAGAACTAATTTGTTCTACGTCATCAACGTTAGCGTAACTTCTGCAGAGAAAAAATAGCAAATGGGGTTATGGGGATATTTTTACAGCGTGTAGTTGGTCAGCCATTTAAAGTTGCCACGAGTCACTCGCGGTAGATGAGCAATTTAGCCGGTGCAGTACAACCACTAGCCTGGGGTCTTTAACGTGCATCACGCAGTAGTGATACACGACCGCACGCCGGTACGATGCTCATCCAGATCGAAACGGGCAGGGGTGCGGATTGAACCCAGGATCCCTGGGTTCTGTTGCGCAAGCTTTCGCTCCGCGTGCTCCGAGCTGGTGTGCTCTAGCCCACTCGGCCGCCGGTCCCGCTCCGGAGGGAAACATGTCTTCTGTTTAGACACGCACAGCAAGTTAGCGAGTGGATTACACCGCTGTATGCACTGAAGCTGTAGCGATCTGGAAGGTCCACAAAAAAAAAAAAAAAAATACAGCCATACTCGTTGGCAGGTTGAAAGTAAACGCTGGGGAGGGGGTCGGCTCCTCCCGAGCGTTCGCTCTGCAAAAGTGGAAAGAGATGGGAGGAGCTGCTTCATCTCAAAACTGAAAGTTTTCAGATGAAGCAGCTCCTCCCTCCTTCGATTTGTGTGAATGTTGATAAGGCAAAAAACGCAGTGCCTTTTATGCTCATTTAGCGACGCAGCCAGGAATATTTTCTAAGCTGGAGGGGGAGGGGGGGGGGGGGACGCTTCTTCCGCCTCCCCTGTATTTACATCACTGGTGTATTGTCGGCTGTACACGATCTTGAGTTTCTCAAAACAACCTGTTTTACTGAGCCACAAAACACAACCTGTTATTCAAAAAAAAAAAAAACCTAAAAAATACGTACATTTTTTTAGCAAAAAAATAAAAACTTAAAGCAGATATCCAGTGAATGATTAAGCAATTACATGTATTCACAAATAAGAAATCAAGTCGAATTAAGATACTGAACACCGTTTGTTTGAAGGACCAGATGGACGAGTTGATGCAGATTCCAATCAGCAAACAAAGGTTATCAAGCAACGTATAACAGGAGAAGAAGCTTATTATTATTATTATTATTATTAATATTATTATTATTATTATTTTATATTATTATAATTATTATATTTATTATAAGTATTATAATAAATACGAAGTCACTATTGGACAAAGGATTTTAAAGCACCTCGACCTAATACACGAGAACTGAGAACGGTTTCACGGTTTCTTGTTCCAGTATATTACACCCGCTATGGCAAGAACCTGCGATATTTTTATGTCCCTCAGATATTCAATTCTTTACCTTCCGAATTCTTCGACTTCACATCCAAAAAGAAACTCAAAAAAGCGCTTCGCCATCTTTTATCTACCAACGAGGCCCTGTAAACCGTCACAATTTTAATTCACAATTCCCTTCCAGTTCTATAAAGAATGTTGAACACCAGATTTTATTATTTTTATTTTATTTGGTTTATGCTTGAGCAAATCAACACGACTTACAACACCCAGTCTTCCTGCTTCAAGAACCACAACACCAAGAACATAACATCTATCAAGACATTTCATTGGTGACAATGACCGGCTTGCGTGTTTGCGCATATGTGTAGGTGTGTGTATACGTGTTTTCCCTTGAGTCTAAGTGTAATAAGTGTCACAAATGTTATTGGAACTGACTCAAACTTTTTTTTTAGTACGTGGCATAGTTATTTTTGAGGCCACTGCAGATAGGTTCAGTCATACAAGTCCTGGATGGCTTTGACGAACCTGACTTGTGACGTGTACATGCTAGTTTTATTAAATACATTTATTAATATTATTATTATTATTATTATTATTATTATTATTATTATTATTATTATTATTATTATTATTATTATTATTATTTATCTTTATCTCCATTCGTCCCACTGTTCCCTATGTTATTGTAATGAAGTTCCATATTCCGACACTGTTAAATATCTCGGAATACATTTTGATTCCGATCTTTCATGGAACTCGCATCTCACGAAACTATGTGCTAAGTTACGAAGTATTTCCTGTCTGCTTTATAATACCAAAGCATTCATGCCTTTCATTCTACGCAAGCGCGTAACTTATGCATTAGCCTACTCCAATTTGCGGTATGGCATAACTATTTTTGGTAAATGCTCCAAACTATGGCAAAAGAAAATCAACAGTGTCCTGAGGGGAATACTCAGAAGCGTGGGGTACAAGCGTGATTTTTCGGATTTACATCTTTTTCAAACACTATCAATGCCAACTTTTCAGTCCCTATTTCTGGAAACAGTGGTGCTCAATTACAACTGGAAAGACGATTTTAAATCTCCACGCCCCATCTCACGAAACTTGCGTAAAGCTTCAAGATTCCTCACTCCGATTTGTTATACCCGCTACAGCAAAAATATGCGTTCGTACTACGTACCTCCGATTTTTAACCTATTGCCCCCAAGCCTTTCAGAGATTACTTCCAAAAAGAAACTCAAAAAGGCACTCCGGACACTTTCCATCGATGAAGAGGCCTTATAATATCTCATTTTTGGTTTCGTCATAATTGGTGCTGCTTCCTCACGTGAATCTTTTTTCGAGTCAACATTTTTTTTGTGAAGTGTAATGCAGTAATATCTGTGTATTTGTGTGTGCGCGTATCTGCGTGTGTGTGCATGTGTATGACTCCTTTTATCATCAAGTTCTTATACGATACGACTGGAACTTAACCATACCTCTTTTTTTTCCCTTCTACTAGAAAAATAGCTGATATTTGTAATGTATATTTTTCCTTGACTCTGACAATAACTTTCTGACTGACATTTTTGTGTCGTTTTCACAACTGAAGAAACCATGTGGTGTTTTTTCTGCTTTATTTTATTATTTACCAAAACTCTCTTATTTACCACTGCTACTTAGGTTCAGTCCTACAAGCCCCTGCTGGCTTCGACGAACCTGCCTAGTGCCGTCCTGAATACATCCTGCGTAAATAAATTTATTATTATTATTATTATTATTATTATTATTATTATTATTATTATTTATGTGTGGCAGGCATCACACCACCGAGTCTGGTACCTGAATAAGGTTTTCCAGCACAACTCGCTTTGATGTCAACGGCCTCCATCTATACCCGTTTATGAGGCACTGCGATCATCTGCAACCTGGTGCAAAGCCAACCCTAGGCCTTTCAGCGATCATCCCTTCATTGCCGGTAACCGACCACCAGTGCACTGCGAATACCTTTTTTCTCGGTGTCCGTTCAAGCTGTGCACGATATACTGCTTAGTCGGTGTCGCTTTTTTGGGTGTGCTTACGTTTCTTTGGCATATTTCCCTATACTCGCATAAACCTATAACCATGTCTATTCTTTGTGACGCCTGCAAAAAATGCATTTCCCAGGACGGCCGTCACATGACGTGCTCAGTTTGCGCGAAGGACTATCATCTGGGGAAAACGTGTTCTGGCATCGCCGAGTCCACGTTTGCTGCCATGAGCCCCGACAGAAAAGAAAAATGGAGGTGTAAAGCTTGCCGCTCTAAGAGCACTTGTTCTGGTACAGACGAGGTCGACGTGAGTTCTGACGCGATCTCGATGAACGAATCCACCTCCCTCGCGGCGCAGATTCTGGCCATGAACCAAAAATTAGACTCCCTGCTCGTGCTTCCCGGGAAAGTGAATGAGCTTTTATCATTGAAACCTTCCATTGACCTGATGAAGGCGTCTGTAGAAGTGGTTCAAACCTCAATCTCTTTCTTGGCGGAGAAGTACGATAACCTTCTAGCCAAGGTGTCTACCCACGCGACGGACATACATGAGCTTCGGTCGGAGGTGTGGGCACTGAAGACCACGGTTTCCGAGCAGGCACAGACTATTCAAAGCCTGCACACGGAGATGAACGACGCAGAACAACGTAGTCGCCTCCAAGATATGTAAAGTCATGGATTAAGTGTCACACCCGGCGAGTCTTTGCCTTCCGTCCTGGGGGGGCTCGCAGAGAGGCTTGGAATTGGGGGACACCAACCATCCGACGTGGTCTCCGTTTACAGGCTACAGGGAAAACGAGCGGTAAGCCCACCTATGGTGGTAAAGTTTGCATCCGTCACCGCTAAAGGCAGATGGGTGCAGGCACGTGGCAAGCTCAGCCTATTGTCACGTGGCGGCCCACCAGAGAAACTGTATTTCAATGATAGCTTAACGAAGACTAACAAGGAACTTTTCTGGCTAGCTCGCTCTCGTGCACGAGAGTGAGGCTACAAATTTGTATGGGTAAAAAATGCAAGAATATTCACCAGAAAAGAAGTGGGCTCTCCACCTGTACGAATTCAGCAGAAAAGTGACCTGGACCTCATGGCATAGACGGCATGGCTAGTTTTTTACAGCATGCGAATTTCCTTTCGTTTAACGAATCATTTTCTTCTTCTTCCTCCGAGTCTTTCACAGTTTTACACGTAAACATTCGCAGTATTCGAAAATACCGGGACGAATTTAAGATAATTGTTGATGAAGTACGTGACCATATTGATGCAATTGTGTTAACCGAAATAAATGTCAGCGCTGATAATCTGTGTCAGTTTAAACTGGAAAGATTTCAAAACTTATTTTATACTCGTTCATCTACTCGAGGAGGCGGAATTGGTGTGTTTATAAAAGACACGTGGATGACAACTCAAATCGATATCCAATTTAACCACTCAGAAAGCTTGATGTTTAGTATTTCTAATTCTAAACACACAGTTTGCTTGCTAGCACTCTATCGACCTCCATCGTCGAACTGCCCATACTTCTTAGAGGAGTTAAAACAAAGTCTAGGAAAACTATCAAACGAAGCACAGTTACTTTTGGTAGGAGATAAAAATATTGACATCCTCAAGACATCCAAATCATCTGTTTGTGATTATCTATCACTACTTGATGAATTCGGGATAATACCTACCATTAACCGTCCTACCCGAGAACAAGTGTTAAACGGGAACCTCGTTTCTTCCTGCTTAGATCATATAAATATTAGATCTTCCGATTCTTCTGTCCACTCCGCTGTCGTTCTACAAAAGCTCGCGGATCACTACTTTATTGCTTGCAAATGCGTTTTTCATTCAAGAATAGTTCATAACATTGAGAGTACGTTTCGTTTGGAGAGACTTGATTTTGGTACTTTCGATCGGTTCATTAAGAACTATGACTGGAGCAAATTTATATCCTCCGTTAACAACATGAACATGTATTCTGCGTTCGTGGACATCAATAGAAAATTTCGGAACTTGTCGACAACGATTGTGCACGTTAAAAAACGTAGACCTTCATTGGCCTGGCTTACATCAGATATCCTTGCAGCTATAACTCGTAAAGAACAATTATGGAAAATATTTCGGCGCTCTCTCAATGACATTAATCTTGAAATAGAATGTAAAATACAAAGAAATAGGGTTAATGCTCGAATTAGATCAGAAAAAAGAAACTATTATGCTAAAAAGATTTCCGACGCTCGTTCTGACTCTAAAAACACTTGGTCGATTGTAAACGAGCTTCGTGGTCACATGCAGACGAGCGCGACTGAATCATTAAAAAAGCATTTCGGAACAGACTTAACTTCTACTGTCAATGCCTTTAATGATTTTCTTGTAAACTCAACCACGCACTCATCTAATGATGATGATGTACTAACATCCCACATTCCGTTTACCTCTGAATCCGCTTTTCTTCCAACTCTTTCAGAGCCAGATTTGTGGTCATATCTGTTTGGTTTCAAACGCTCTAGGTCGGCGGGTGTTGATGGCCTGACAGTTCGTGACTTATGTCGAAATTATGACTCCCTGAAAAACGTTCTCCTTGTTCTTATAAATAATATCCTAAAAACAGCTCATGTACCTGATGAATTAAAGCAGGCCTTGGTTGTTCCTCTCTTCAAGGGTGGTGCACCAAGCCAAGTTTCTTGCATATCCCAGATATTAGAGAAACATGTTTTTGTTGTTATGTCCGGGTTTCTTGAGAAGTACAACATAATCTCGCCGCATCAATACGGGTTCGTAGCTGGTCGCGGTACCACTCATCTTCTTGAGACTTTTTCTGACATGATACACTCGTCCTTTGAAAACAACATGTATACGTGCGCCATCTTCATTGATGTCGCCAAGGCATTCGATACCGTTGACCACACCATCCTTTTAGACAAGCTTCATAGGGTGGGCTTTCGTGGTCCGTTCCATGATTTACTAAAACGTTTTCTCACGAATCGTTCCCAAGTCGTATCGATAGATAACGTCCGCAGTTCTCATGCTTCCTTAACCTCTGGTGTTCCACAGGGCTCCATTTTGTCTCCACTATTATTTAACATTTTTGTAAACGATATTTAAACAGTAATGACCACTTCCAATTTATTCCAATACGCGGATGATACTCTCATATTCTCACAGCATCTTATATACCAGCGTGCAATAGAAGTGCTCCAAGCCGATGTAACTAAAATAATGGACTGGTTCTTAGCAAATAAGCTTCGTGTAAATGCTTCCAAAACCAAGCTGATATAGAATAGAATAGAATAGAATAGAATAGTTTTATTTTCCAATACACACATTTTCAAAAAGTACAATGACGAGCCGGTGTAAGCCTCAGGGGCTTGTGTACCTGGCTCAGCGCAGTAGGTGACAAATTCAGTATGTGTAACATTAGTATAAAATGCTCACTCAGCATCGAAGTACTTATTCAAGGAAAAAAAAAACATTTTAAGCAGGGACCAAGAAAAAATGAGCGAAAGACGGCATCACACTGCAGAACAATACGCACTGTCCTGAAAAAAAAAAACAATCAAAGGGAAAAGAGGAAACCACCATCTAGCACTCGTTCACTGGTCTAAATTCCGCAGTGCTTTTTTAAGTTTTTGTCTTGATGTGGCGACAAACAGGGACTCTGGCATGCTGTTGAATACATGGGGCACATAATAAATACGCGTACGTTCCCCATATTTAGTTCGAATTCGCGGCATGTTAAATCGAAGTGATTGTCTCATTGGTCGGCCTGGAGTGTACGGAGTTATAAAATTTGAGTTCCAAAAGTGTTGCAGTATCACTGTCTCCTTAAATAACCCCAAAAAAGACGGCAATTTTAATTCTTTAAATATACAGGGGCTAGCGACCTCGGCCCGGTCAAACGCAATACTTCTTAAAATACCCTTCAGTAAAGAATCAACTCTATCTCGCCAAAATAGAGAACACCTAGCAATGAGGGTTATACCGTATCGAATGTAACTATAAGCCAAAGCATGTGTGATTATCTTTCGTACCGTAAAAGGCATGAACATTTTAACGTTGTAAAGACAGCACGAAACACTTCTTAACCGTTTACACAAGTGCATCATATGCGTAGACCACGATAAATCGCTATCAAAATGGATCCCTAAGTACTTTACTGAATTGACATGCTGAAGA